GACGATTATATAGGACGGATATATTATTTGATGACCTCCGTGGTGGAATGGTATGTACGCCGGCATCATGTAATTGTATCATGGTGTCGCCGACTCGAGAGGTCCCGGATTCAAATCCTGGTGAGGGCAGATGTTTGTGTGATGAGTACGAGCATTTGTACTTCAGTCATGGATGTTTAATATGTATTTCTATATCAATATTCTTATATATGTACTGCATATGTATTCTATTCGTTACCCTAGCATCCCATAACACAAGCCTTACAGTGCTTACTTTGGGGCAAGGCTAATCGGTGAGTGTAAAAAACAGGAATTAATTATGAAACATTATTTCATTTCAAATATTTTTAATAATCTTCATCCACAGTGTCTAAGAAGAGAGCCGGTCTGTGAATATCCTCGTCATGTCTTGCCAGAAATAAAAACCATATGACCACCATAACATGAGCACAGCAGCCTAAAGTGCAGTTTCCCGATTAGCATGAGCATAATGAATAAAATAAGTAATAATGTTTTTATGCATTTATTCCATTCTCGTCTTCATTTATCAATATATAGGAGTAATAGAGCTTAGACCTCGTATGCCTCGAATCTATTTTTGTTCGCAAAAGCCACAGATTTTTTGGCAAGCACCGCAAGCACGGTTATTTCATTCAGCCAATGTCAAGTAAAAGATCCTTCTTTTACTTGACATTGGCTGAATGAATGCATATATGCGATTACTCGTACGATTATAATGACGTACGTGATGATAATCGTGTTCCTATTTCCAAAGCGTGTTAGTTAAATATCAATGAAGTAACAGGGAGCGCACAAAAAGTAAGACATACTATAACTGCATACGAGTAGACTAGTTGGAACGGCAACTGCAAATATCACATCCTTCAACCCCCATACCCTTACCCTGTTAAACGTTTTGAGGCGTCTCAGTAAGTGCAAGCAGCAAGCAAGCAGGATGTTCGATAGGCTTTGTTGTATAGTATTTTGTATCTGGTTGTATAGTAAGATATGACTCACATTATTATGGTTACTATTATATAACGAAAGTACTATTTGATTTTGAATGAATTTATTTAGCTATTTAATAATGCCCATGTGTGCAACCGACCGCCATAACTTACACACGACTGATGGTTTTCTTTAAGGTCTATGTGCGGAAACCTTAACCCCTAATATAGAACATGCCCATATGTATATCTTTTGACTCCCAGGATATTTTTTTACGGTGTCATAATAAAAAAGGCTAGTTTTTCATAGATCTATCGATTCATACTAATAGGCTAGTTGACCCTTTTTGGAAAAAGGTTTTAAATGGTTAATAAATGTTCTATTAGACCGAAAAAAAATGTATTGTATTTTTTTAAACCTAGAAAGATACAAATCTTTAATTTTAAAATAGACTTTTCATGGACATACAAAAACGCTGTCGGCCATTTTAGTCTATAGATTATCTATGCTATGACGTGAACTGTGGTATACAAAAACTCGTAAACACGTAGAAAATTACTTAAAACTGAGTTTATAATAAAAAAAAACATGATTTCTAATAAATACCACGAAAAATAAAGTAATTATCATTACTGTATTGTACGAGAATATAAAAACACATCCTTGAAGACTCCAGGAAAGTTGTCGATTAAAGTGCCGAAAGAAATTGATACGCAACTTTATTACACTTATTCATATGTTGTATCAGTTTATGTTTATTACTACATTATAATACTAAATGCACTGTACTTACATAGATGCCTTGTCGTTTCTCTGCTCCGCAGAGCAGAAATTGGGGTTTAGTGCAACAAATTCACCAACCATCAATGCGTCAATTCTTGGCAGATTTGTGCTTTCTGCTTTCACAAAGCCGGCAACCATAATTAGTTTTGTCAAAAAAAACTAAGTTTACTGTTTATTTCTTTCCTAAAGTTAAAAGTGTTTTAAGATAAATTTAGTCAGACGAAAGAATCCACCTACAGTAACACGCGAATGACATTTAGTTGTTTACCACAAGAGACGTCAAAATCATGGCGGATGTGGCGAACAGCGTTTTTAGTGTTTAAAAAATATAGACTAAAAAATATTTTTTAAAATTAAATTTCTACAGCAATATTCTGCTTTTATGAAGTGAAATCGATATATTTAGGTTCCTTAGACCAAATACTTTAAGAAATAAACATTTATTTAATACAATTCGACATGAGTAAACTAGCCTATTACATTGTTGGCGGAGCTGGGTGCGTTTTGCCCATTATCCTTTGGTTCCTCGATACTATAGTTCAAACCATTTCTGGCATAAACTACTACACCGTTATTTTGGATCTTGTTATTTTTAGTCGCGAAGGAGGCGTAATCATCTATTGAGGGAATTATAGGATTCGCTAAAAGCCAGAATTCGGTTAATACCATAAAATCCCAGGCAATATTTAAGTTAGCTAAAAGCACTTCGAAACCAGGCATATTGCAGTTAATGTTTCGTATATTTTGCGTCAAAACAGTTAAATTAGCTTGCAATGGTAAAACATGAGAAGAGACCATAGCTGGCTCACACTGAAGTAAAATTGATCGAGAGATCGAATCTAAATCATTCAGAAAATTTTGATCCATTAGTTATAATTGATAGTGTAATATAGAAATCCAGTATTTGAGTTTTAGTTGGTGTGCGTTTAGTTGGTGTGCATGGTTTAGCTACAAAGTATGAAAAATGTGTTTTATTTGTGTGGTGTATTTGTGTGTAGAAATACTCGTAATTGTAATGCTCGCATTAATTAAATAAAGATTTAAATTTAGATTTACATGCAAAAATATAAAATTTTAAAATAAAATAACAACAGTAAAAGGAACTTGATTTATATCTAGTCATTCACTCTTGCGAAATATTTCAATATCTTCCGGACAGGAAATTTTCACTTGCGGTGAATTTTCTTCCTAACGCAAATAAACAACACCATGAGCTGTCCAGCAAAAAGAGTAGTTATGGTTTTTCTGAAAAAATCTGCATAGATAAAACAATTTTTGTGTATTACTCGTTAAAGTTTCAGAAATAAACACCGGTTTTTGTTGTTGTTTTAGTTGCAAATGAGACGTGTTTAATTTTTCGCCTTTAACTTTACTCTTAGGGAAGATGCATATATAATATTTATGAAAATTTTATGATTAAAATGTTAAAAAAATATAAAAGAAATGCCACTGCACCGTTTTTATTTTACATAATGTTGTTTTTTAACAATTATTACGAATTAAAAATACTTGAAACAGAACGTATTTTAAAACACCAATCAGCGTGTAGTGACGTCACTCCTGTTATGACAACTTCTTTGAGGTTATGGTTGTTAAAGTAAATATTATTTTATGGGAATATTAATTGCGTTTTTTACATTAAATAAAAATGGAAGTTGCGTTTATCAAAGCAGACTCCAGGAATTTACCAAGAGTTAGTGTTGACATGGTTATAACTATTTTTGTCCAAAGTGCAGAGTTTTTAAGTGTAGAAATGAAAGGGACTAAATTACTACGGTCTGTAAAAATCGTAGTTGTTAAACTTCGTATTTTATTCAGCGGCTTCTACAAATCTTTAATATCTATTGTACGTAATCTTAAGTAAATTATGTAAGTATATGAATGTTTCAGTCTGTGGAAACTTAACTGGTTTATAAAAAAGTAATAAGTGTTACTTATTTGATTTGTGTAAAACTGTATGTTTCCCAAATGAAAATAAATAAAAAATACGTGTGGCACTTGGGGACTACCGCGGTAAAGCTATTGCATAGCATTTTTTATCAATTTATGCAGTTATAATTATTTATTTATGCAGTTTTTTTCTTTGATATTAATTCATGTTAGACTTTTTGAGCGTGGTGATCGATAAGAAAACATTTTTTTTCCATCTCCTTCATGCTGTCGGCCAGCATACTTTTTATATCACTGGTGTGATTATTTCTGGCGGCGTTCTCCTTGGCCTTACCCTGGACCTCATCTTCCTTTGGAGAGCCACTGGCCAGGTCGACAGGGTCCCGTACAGCAACCGGTTTTTCGGGCTCGGAAGATTCGCTGATACCATTTACAGGCGTACGCGTGTTGTCACCCCTGCGTGTGCTCTTCTTGCAGTTCGGGCATATCCAGTCCTTGCTGACATTCGGCTTTTTCGGGATGGCGAGGCAGGCCTTATTAGCATTGCCCGGCGCCAAAAAACTTTCACAAGCTCCACAGTTTACCATCTTTAGTCCAAAAATTTTAATTATAATTATAAATTCTAAATTAAAGGGCGCCAAATAAAAATAAGAACAGGTGCTGGGGTCTAAAACAAATATATAAAAAAATGAAAAAAATAATAACTAAAAATGCGAGTGCGGGATTTGAACCGACGACCGCGGTGATGCGTCGAACGTTAGTCCCGTGGCAAAAACTTAACACACTGCGCCGTTTAGATTGATATAAGAATGGCGAAAATTGTGTTCTATTGGTATATGCACTATCGCAAGGTTTTTTCGTTACAGAATTTTTTGATTCGGTCCCCGCGTTCAAAGCCCGCGATAAAAGCTGTACAATAGCTTAATAAATAAAATCTTACGGCGATAATGCAATCGGCTATGTCCAAATTAAAAGAGATGGAGAATTATGTACAGTAAAAGGTCGAGTTCTCCGGAGTATAAAGTACGTAAAAAAGGTTATCGTGTTACAGTTATTTTAAATGAAACGCAAAGCTTGGTTCAGTCCTGCCAATTTGAAGATTGTGCCACACATTTTAAAGTTTATCTAATTTTCGACGTCATTCTCCAACTGTAAAATTAAAAATATGTTATAGACAGGTTTTGTATTAGGTAGGTTACTAATGCGTTTTGACGTACAAGCAGATTAATTAAGCATATAACAAGTATATTCGCCGACTTACGTCAAAGTGATCTTCACAGCATCGAATAATGGTCTTTGGAGAATAATTGTCATTTCTCTTCGCATCTTGAAACCACTTTTTTTTCAGTTTTGGGTCAGAAGTTCCAGTCAAAAACAGTTTATTTGGAAACTTTGTTGAAGTAGATTGGCACAAAACATGAGTCAACACGGCTTTTTTTCGGAATATTAGTGGTATTGTTATGATCACATGATGTTGATGGATAGTCCATTTTAAATTTATCAAAAAAATATTTCGAAAGTCGAAAAAATATGCAAAAGTATGAAAATTTAAAGCCAGCGACGAACAAGTACGACCAGTGACAGACATGACTGACGTCATCGAAACCATAAATTCGTTTTCGCGCGAAAATTTAAATTGTCAATTTAAAACCGCATTTTTTCCGATAAATCACAATGTTTTAATTTTTTAATATATCTGTGGTTTATTCTACATGGAATTCATTAAAATGAAAACAAAAATAAAAATATTGCATCTCAATAGGACAGAAGTGAATTCCACAACTAGTGCCGGCTTTAAGGCTGGGCAGGCGAGCTGTGGCACAGGGGCAAATCGTAAGTAGCCGGGGGTGCCAGATTTTAAAAAGGCGGTTCTCCACTCCTTCGTGTTCCCAGGGCTTCCACAATTCTAAATCCGATCCTAGCGCAGCAATGCACACAGCGAACTTTAGTCCGCGTGTTGCGCGGTCAATCCGATTTAAAAGGAAAGACCCAGTATTCTCTTTTAAAGTCTTATCTTTTTCCTAAAGTTAATTTTATTTAACTACAACACAATATAGTCTCTGAACATTTTCTTCTATAGCGTGCGTTTCTCAAAATTTCCAGGCTACCAATGTTCGCACACCGTGTGCGTTGAGTAGGTACCTCACAAGTACTCGGGGGGACTTTTGTGTTTTTGATACAGGGACAAAGGTCCATCGTCTGCGCAAGCCATAAATAGTAGGTACGTAACTTTTCCTAACTAATGTTTCTCATGCAAGCAACTGTAATGGTTTTACATGAGAAATAAATTTCCTTTAACCTTAAACCTTCAAGGCTGAAGTTTATAAGTAGGTACGGAGTCCTCGCGAAAGGCGCGAGTCCAACTAGCACTTGACCGGTTTTTATACAAGGGTCAATAATTAATTACACAACAATGAGAGTCGAACCCAGACACGGCCCTCCAACAACCACAGCATTGCAGATGTACGGGATGTGTGTACGTACAAGAAAAGAAAATGGATTTTACAGAGATACCGTTTATTGGCACACGAAACTTATTTGACTAATGAAATAGTGTATGGTGTTTATGAGTCGCGCTTTAAACGTAGACTGATGCATCGCGTTCTAGATTCGATACACACAATAGGCGATATACTTAGTAGTCCTTTCAGAATAGGAGTTAAGTATTGGCGCTCCATTTTTAATGTATTTACATAATTACTAAATTAATTATTAAGAATGTGAACAGTACTTAAATTTAAGTTAAATGCAGCTAACCTTCACGATTATATTCTTCAACACATTGACTCGCTAGTTATTTCCCAGAGGGATAGACTATAATGTCTATGTAGACAAAGAATTCTATTAGCTACGGTTCTGGACAGACTATAGACTATATCAGACACACTTCTCTCGCTGCCGCCCCTTCCACATTCATTAACATAAAGATTTTTTCATCTAATCTCTACAAGTGCATAATCATTTTCTGTATAATACTATAATCTAGTAAAAATGTTTGCAATAATTCTTGATTTAACAACCTTAAGCGTAGGCTGCGACTTATGCCTGGGAGGCAGCCATGGTACCTTAAATTTGGTGGTGGGCGTTGACATCGAGTGTAGCTGTGGTTTTTTGCCAACGATATTCAAATTTGTTCTGTGGGCGATGCGATGCGAATCGCACGCGCAGTAGGCTGCGAACCAGCGCGCCAGGCGAACGTGAAAGCGTTGAACGAAAGCTTTAGTGCTCCCGAGTGTAGCTGCAGCGATGGAAGCTATGGAACTAGCGGGTCAATGGCGGAGGGAGTGGGCTGGAACAGCCGAATATGGAAAGGTGAGTCTTACAAACCATTTCGCCGACCAAGATTAATTGATTTGCCTTAATTATTAATTTTATAAGTTCCTTATTTTGGTCCTGCTTGACGTAAGACCTAAACTAGAACTTGATTTTCAAACCGGATAAGCACGAATGCTTTAGTCACCAACAACGATTTTAAAAACTTGTATTTTTTTTGTATTTTGTGTACCTACTTGTTTAATATAAATCCATTTCTTTTTCTATAATACAGGCTGCTAAAGCATGATATCCCCTTTCGATGGATTAATATTGAACCGTTTTATCGTGGCATTAACAAGCGGTCATTACCAAAACAATAAAGTTGTCTTTTCCTTTTACGGCTATAAAGCAACATGGCAATGCGAGCTTTAGTTTAATATATAAACGTTTAACAAAATTGGAACTTGTGGATCGCTAAGGTAAAGTTCAATGTCGAGAAAGAAATGTCCTGTCAAACCAGTCCGAGACTTTTAGCTTTTTTATTCCTCAATTTTTATAGTTATAATCTTTATTATACAGAACCTACTCAGATCCTTATATATACTTATTAGGTAAAGGTGTTGTGCCATTGACTTCAACATTATTATATTAGAACAAAGACACCTCGAGATATTTAAATAACAGCTTAAATCAACAAGATTCATCAATTTAGGGACAGAAACTGAGCTTTTTGTGACCCACTGTGCGTTGATGTCTTTTGTTTATGAACTTTTTTACAGAATATCAACTAAATCTGTTATAAGTATATATTTGATATATTTTGTGCGTTAATTATTCTGGTAACTTTGTTTATATGTGTACAATATCTTTAAACAAGTACAAGTAACCAGTTCAGTTGATCCAAACAAGGAACTTCACACTTTGAAAATTTAAGTGGGATGTAGATATATATACCTACGTGTTTAACCCGCAGAAATAAATATTTTTAACTTCAAAGCAATTTAAACAAAACAAAACTACTACAAAATAATTATATGAGATATTTAGGTTTTATAAAAATTGTTTTATCCTCTAAGACGCAACGCGGGATTGTATGAGATGAAACAACTTCGGATGTAGGAAGGCGATAATGTAATTTGCAGACAATAGCTAGCGATCTCAATTCAGTTGTCGAACGGTGAAAGTGGCTAAGACGTGAGGAAACCGATTGTTTCCTATTCATTATCTATGAAGACTGCAAGTAGATATTACTTAACCGTATTCTACCTAAATTTTTGCCTGCTACTTACTTACCTCAATCTTTGTTAAAAGCTACTTGTGCTACCACGCGTAAATATTAATAGACAGACATGTATTTTTTCAATTATTATGTTTTACATGTAGATATGTAAGTGTGGGTATATCTTTAACATTTAAGTAGCAGAAGGTACATTCTAGTCAGTACCACCACATATAAAACAGAAAAGCAGTATTAAGAACATTATTTTTTTATAATTTGTGGTCCTATTTTAATTATCTACTATTGTGCTATTGACATCTTTTCGTTCGATAGGAATTGTAGTTTTCCAGAAATTCGCAATAAACCGTTTTAAAAAGTAGAGATATCAACTTTTTAAAAGCACTCTTTTGACGTGACATTTTTCGATTGAGAATAAGGTTACTTTTTCGATACAAAATATGGACTAACAATATGAACTTTTTATTAAAAATTGTGTGTTTAAAACATAAAATGTAAAGTTTTATATAGTATATATTAGTTAGTATGTATAGTTATATTAGTTTATATAGTGTATATAGTTTTATATAGTACCTATATATTTTCCGAATACCGAAACCAGAAGGCCCGTACCGAAAACCGAAAGTAAAAAAAGTACCCTTTAGTGATCTTGTGTTGCTGTCGGTGAGCACGTTTTCTGATCTAGGGTCCTATTCCACGTCCACAGGGCAGGAGGCCAGGGGTCAGTGTGATAAAGGAACTGGTGATACTCTCTTTTGAAGTCATCGCAATACGTCTAAAGGCTATGCTATCAAACAGACCGCATGCTTTTTTGCTACTCTTTCTATATAAAAAAAACCACTATCAGTCGTTGATAATTATTATTCTCCTATTTTATGAAAAATATGATCAAATTTAGGGGTGTTTGCTAATAAATACAAGATTTCCGTTATTTTTAGTTTCTTTTTTTTGTAAAGAAAAATACCTATATAAATAAATAGCTTCGTCTGGATGTAATAACATATAATATCGACATGACATCAATTATTTGGCTTCCTTATTAATTATTATCACAACTTTATATGCTTCAGATGATGACTTTTGAGTGATATAAGTGCAGATAAATAATTGTTGCCGGGTATAATTATATTGTAGGTATCCATAATTAGGTACTATCTATAGCACAAGCTCTGCTTATTTTAAGTGCGAGTAGTACGGAATTTATTATAATACATAAACCATCTTTCGAAAAGAACATATATAATAATTATAAAGATTCATCTCCAAGGTGATTCTGATGTGACAGAGACTTTGTTGATGGTGAAAATTACTAATGGGTTAATAAACTATGATTACCGAGTAGCGCATGCGCACCTCCATAGCGGAGTTTCGTGTGCAGGCTGCCGGAAATCCTGCGCAAAGGCCACCTCGAGGCTACGGAAAACTTGATTCACATATGGATATATATTGTAGGTAACATCAGCGTCTTCTTTTAGATCATTCAAAATAAGAATATGCCTGAAAATAATTTTAGCAATGGACAAACTCTGAACTATAATGACGATTTTCATTTTTTCCACCCACAATTTCAATGAATCACAATTTTTAATTCTTATACAACATTTCATAACCTATCAATTTATGGTGAAACATGTAGAGTCAATGACCGAGATTACCTACCTATATAATTTATAACGTGACGTACATTAGTTATTGCTAATAGTAGGGGAGCCGAAGCGGGGATTTCGGGATTTTCGAGTAAATCGCGGCATGTTAACCTAGGGGAGCAACCTTGCATCTTGTGAAGTACTCCCACCACACCTTAGTAGCCCTTTATATAGTGTCGAACATCTACTACTATACTGCCGATCAGATTAATAAAAAAATCGATCGTTGGAGAAACTCGAGTGCGTCAGATTAAAGGTAAGTTTATTACATGCAGAAAAGTATGCATTACAATAATCTGACCATTTGAGCGTGTCATAAAGAAATGGGAGAGTCACAAAGTTACAAAAAAAACCGACACTTCGTCATTCTCGAGAGCGGGGTTATATTTCTTACCATGTATACCTAAATGTTAAGCCTATTAGGATGAATGCATAAATGATTTATTTTTTTCTGACAAAGTCACAAAGTAACATTATAATGAAGGAAAAGGGTATTGAATGACAATAACAGTAAAAACAATGCAGTTCTTTGAGAGAACTGGATGGAGATTGTACTAGGTAACAAAACTTGTGTTACGACCCCCAGGCTCAAATCCTCTTAAAGCCCGTTTGCTTGCTAGAGATTCTTTTGCATATATTTTTTTTACGGTTTATGCTCCAACATGTTACCTTCAATGAAAAATCATGTCATAAAATCTGACAAAATCTCGTACATATGAGTAGTCTTCTTGTACCTCGTAAGGTAGACCAGAAATCTCGTATTTGAACGAGAATTCTCGTACGGTTGGCAACCCTGATATAACCTGCTTGAGTATTTTTATGTGACTGTTTTATTTTACATATTTGAATGACTGTACACGCTCCTCCCACCAGTGAAAAAGAAAACATTATATAAACTTTCTTCTTTTTTGCATCTAACCTTCAAAATCGAATAGGTCACAACGACGCTCGAGTAAATCCCTATTTAGCATCGTGGGCTCCCCTACTATAAGGACCTACTTACAATAATTAATAAGTGAGGCACACCTTAAGAAAGAAAGGTAGATCTCTGAAACATCAGACTTTAATATTGCCATGAGTGTTTATGAAAGAGAATATGCTTGTCTAGTGTGCAGGTGAAATGATTCATACACATTGTCTTACAAAATTATGGAAACTCGGTATATTCCATTAGATTAATTTATATTCCAAAAGCTTGGCAATATAAAAGTCAAAGCACTACCATGAGTGAATGTAATCAATACTAAGTCAACACATTGCCGGTGCTTAACTAGCTTTTTTATATGATGATTCATTTAATTTTGCGATTTTCCCCTGGAAATCTGTATTTATTAGGTCTGCCCCAACGCCCGCGCAAGTCGACGACCGCGATGAGAACCACCTGACCCCCCCCCCCCTTCTTCATCTTAGTTGCGCTCGCGCGTCACTATAATCATCATCATAACCTATTACCATAATTTGAATCAGAACAAAATACGTAACAAAAACCGTTCTTCGACCGTAATGGCAGGAAAAACATCTAAATATATGAAGTCAAATACATTATCCGATGAAATGAATTGTGTTATTCATCTTTAAACACATTCTTGGAAAGGTTGATGCAATCACTTGATTGAAGGTTTCAAATATTTTAAAGATTCGTTCTGTTTATCGAAATTAAGCTTGTGGGCTGCCGTTGCGACCTTCCATCGCGGTCTTGGTGGGCATTCGATCATGCGGATGACGTCATTTTATCTACTGAAATAAATTACCTTGATCCAATATTAAAATTAGTAAAAGGCTTCTGATGCCGGTAGCTTTATAGAAATAATCAACGCACATTAGACCAGTGCTTGCTATATTCACAGAGAAAGTTAATAAAACCTTTAAAACTTATCTTAATTCACAAAAAATATAATAAAACGAAGAGTCTGGTAATTTAGTATATACACACAATTATTCTTCTAGTGTGTTTTTATCTAAACTTTGTAAAGTACTTTGAACGGCTAGCTAATAATGTGACATACATACTTACTAATTATAGGCATATATAAAATTTATAATATAACATAAATATAACGGAAATCAATTACTTAAACTACACCGACGAACTAGTCGTCAGCGTAGTTTAAGTAATTGATTTCTGGTTAAAAACTATTCTACGTCCTTTCTCGAGCCTCAAATTGTATCTATTC